ACAACTTGGTTATTAGCATCCATTTGTTTGTGGCCAGGAGTCCTTAATGGACTTGTCTCCCCATGCCAAAGGCGCCAAGCTGCGGGGTCGGCGCTGCTGCCTCTGGGCTTTTAGGCCAGGCCATCTGGATTAGGCCTTTTCCCCTTTTAAGCTCAGTAAACTCCACAGGCTGTCACAGATCCCCTTTCCAGCTGTCACTCTGCCCGGCTGAGCACCGCCACCAAGGCAGGATGGCGGGATTCAGATCTGGTCAGAACAGCAGCATCACGTCCTAGCCAAGGGCTGAGGAGTAAGTGGCACTGGCTCCCTGTCTTAAAAATTGCCACCTAAGGAAACAATACATGACATTTGCTTCTCTTTGCACCAAGAACCTCTGGAAGGACAATGAGAAACCAGTCAAAAGTGGTTCCCATATCAGAGGGAAGGTAGGGAATGTTATTTTATATTGTAGGCATGTGAATGTATTCCCTATTCAAAATAATAACAATAATAATAATAAAATAAGAGAAAGAAAAGCGCCCCTTTTCTGGAGCACTGGGGTGGCCATGTGGATGTGGGAATCCTTGAGTTGGGGGCACACCCATTTCCAAGGCCTGGCCGTAGAACAGTGAGTCATTTTAAAGGCAAACAACCTGAAGCCTCTACATCCCAGGAGACTGTTTGCCATTACCTTGAGAGTGGGGGCCTTCCTGTGATGAAGGTTGTCAGTGTAGATGGGCAGTGTCGCAGGCCTGCTGGCCAGGCCTTTGGCACCTTCTGAGACACAGTAAACATCCCCTCTCGAGTGTGCACAGGATTTGTGTGTCTGTCTGTGTCTGGAGCTAGAGCTGGTGGGCAGAGTTGGGTAAAGACCTTGGGGACCCTGAGAACAGGAGAAAGGTTTTCTCAAGCTGCTCTAGTGAGCCATGGTGGGGACCACTAGACAAGGCCACTGAACACCTGGCTTGAGGACAGGTGCTGCCCTCTGGTGGGGTCACGCTCAGAGGGGACTATATCTGTGGGATGTGTACTCAGGGTTTGTGCTTGTGCCCAGAGAGGGCTCTTGGAGGGGTGGACAGTAATGTCTACTGTTGACTGGATGGGGAGTTAGGATGGCTATTTCCATGGTGATTGCATTTACTTATCCCAGCAGACCTGCTAGGTAGGTTGTAAGTATCCCCATTTATCACCCAGGGAGGGAGCCAAGGCTGAGAGAGGCTGTCACCTACCAAGAGGTAGAGCCCAGATCAGGTCCGAGTGGGGCCACCTCCAAGCCTGTCTGCCTCCTAGCTGGCCACTCCCCCTCACCGTGTGCTGGGTCTTGTTTTTCAGGTGACGATGCCTGGGGAGCCCGTGAATATGGCGTGTGGTGTGGATCACATGGTGACCCTGGCCAAGTCATTCATCTGAATCTCCTGCATGACCCGTGTGAGCCTACCCTGGCCTCAGAACCACTTAGCAGAGGCAGCCTTTGGGGTTCTGATGGGGCTCAGAGAGGACCAGAGCCCTTCATGAAGTGTGACACTCTTTCCTGAAGCCCTTAGGAGGTACATACTGAAGTGGTCCCTGCTCCTGGTGAGACCTGCCGAATTCACGTAACGGCTGCCTTTATCGGGCTGGTCTGCAGGAAAACGAGTCTCAGGGCTGTGTGGCCCCAGCAGGGCGAGGATACTTAGAATGTCTCAGCTCTTTCCAGGGTACATGTGACGACTTCTGGTGTCACATGTGGCCCAAGAAATGAATCTCAGGAAATCTTTGCTCTCTCAGCCTGCGTTTTGTTTGATCTTAAAAGGAGGCCTGACAGCGTTTAGTGCTTGGAGGGCTTCTGCAGCCCCCTGGAGCACAGCAGTGCTTTTGGTGGGCTTGTGGGCAGGCATGCATGGGCACTGGACAAGCCCAGCCTGACTGAGGGAGCTGGGCTGGCTCCAGCCTGGGGTTTTCATTCAGGTCCCCTCCCACCCAGCCATTTCCGGTCAGCTGCCCACAGCTGGCTTGCTGCTGGGACACATGCTGAAATCTTTGCTTGGATTGGGGTTCTCCCTGAAAATACCAGTGGGCGCCAGCTCGGTGCCCCATGGGCTCACGGCTGTCACCAACCTTGTAACCATTCTCACTGCCTGGCTTGGAAAAGTGGAGAAGCCCCCACAGGAAGAAGGCAGCCAGATTCTTGTGGGCTGAGGGCTCCGAACACATCCCACAAAAGCTTGGCTGGAGTGCCAGCTTTGGAGAAGAAAGGTTCAGAGATTGTGAAAAACATTGGAGTTAGTAATATAACTTGTCTTATTCTTTAAAAAATATTTTAATATTTAAAAACCTCTTTTGGAATAATGTCTGTTTTCTGCCTTTTTATTTTTAAGAACTGAAGAGGTCTTTTTATTTTTCCTGGTCATTTATAGAGATTAGCTTTCAAAAACAAGGCTTTTGATAGAGAGGCTACTAGAAATCAGTGAAAAATATGGTAGAAGACAGTTCTCCTTGAAAACTTTTCTGAACAGTCTACTCCCACAGTTCAATTGGGAGAAAATAACAAAGTATAAAAATAACTAGTAATCATGACACAAACTGGGCTCTCACTCACTGCCTGCCTCATTCATTCAGCAGTACTTCCTGTGTGCCCCGTGTGTGCCAAGGACTGTTTATCACACTGGACCACGTGGTAACAAACTTCTGTACGCAGGTCTCACGAAACACACTTTAGGAGACGAAGTGGACAATAAACAAGCAAAATGCAAAGTATGTTAGATGGTCGTATGGGTTGTGGAAAAAAATAAAGCAGGAGATGGGTGATTTCAGGAGGGTTGTAGCTTAAAGTGGAATCATCACTGAGCAGATTGCTGTGACCCAAGGCAGCAAGAACCAGCCATGTGGTGTCCGGGGGAGCAGCCTTAGGACCCCTTATCTGGGCTCATGTTCCAGTTCTCTGTGGGGGACCAATTCTTATGTTACTACAGCAAAGCTTTTCCATAAACTTGAAATACAGTTGAAAGCGATTTGTCATTTTCCATCCTGAAACTCCTGGCTGGGCCGAGTACCATACCGCCTTGGTGATGAAACACGGTCCTCAACCTCAGAGAAGATTCACCGTAGAGCATGTACTGATATGGAGGGTGAGCGCCCCTGAGGGGGGCAGTGGGTGATGGCAGAGATGGAGGGCCTCTTTCGACATAGGAGTGGTTATTAAGCTTCCCACCAAGTGACAACCAGATTCAGATCCACTACCTACCACAACCTTGGACACAGTAACCAGGGTATAATAAGGGACATCTTTGGATTTATCTTAGGACTCAGTGTCTTCCAGGTGGGCTTGGTCTGCCTGGCAGGGCGGCATGGATGTGTTCCTAGTTGGAGTGTATCTGCTACCACCAGGCTCTTTCCATAGTTCTCTGTGACACCCTGTGTGTCCTTTCTCAGCTTTGTCCCCTTGCCCCCAGGCCCTCCCAGCATTTAACACACAGGACAGAGAAACCTATGCCATCAGCTTGGTTGCTGATTTATCATTTTGTTCCTGTGTAAAGTCGGTGTTTGCAGTTCCAGGCTTCTCTCACATTAGGGAGCATGTGGATGACACCTGAATGATGTGACCACAGGCCAACTCTGACTTGTCCTCTGACCGTTCTCTCTCCTTACACCAGACTTTGTTCATTCACTTATTTGAGGTCAGTAGCCGAGGTAAGGTGGAGCCCAAGTGAAAGGTGCTGCCTGGGAGGTGTGGGGACTCTTGTCACTTGGTGGCCACCACCATCTCCCCCAGTAGACAGTTCTCCAGGTGCCTGGGTCTCCGTCTTCCGTCCCAAGCCCCCACCAGACGTGCAGGCTGCCACTCCATAGGTGGGATCCAAAGGATGGCCCTGACTGGCATGCAAGACCTTAAACTAGCTACTAAAAGTCACTCAACCTGCCATTCATGTCAGGCCACCCCTGATACTCAGAATCCCATCATGGCCATTCTCGTTTTTTGAATATGGTTGGCTCACATTTTCATGTATTTACTGTGTTCCGTGTGACAAGCCAGGTGGATGCTGAGAGCCATGCAGTCGAGATGGTGCTCTGACTTGGGAAAGTAGGTTACATACGGTATGACTGAGAGCCCAGCACTATGCCTACACATGGTAAAAGCTCGGGCTGCATATTTGGGAACATCCACACTCTTCTCTTACATTACACCCTGGTCCCAGCACCTGGAGGGGCCCGGCCTCTCCTGACCAGCAAGGGAGCTGCTCAAACTGTTTTGAGGGACCTTTTTGCAATTGCTGCTCAGAACTGCAGCCTGCAGGAGGGACAGACCCTTGAGGGCAGCACCCAGCACTGGCCCCATGAGGCAGCCATCACCCCAGGACCTGCCCTTCCCTGTGATGGGGCCCCAGGAGCTTGCCCCTCCCCCAAAACCCCAGGTGCAATACCCAGCTGCCCTGAGACTCGGGCTGTCCAACAAGCAATCAACCAATGGATGCATAAATAAGTGGAACAACAAATCGATGTTTCAATAATAAAAATCCCAGCCTTTTTTTTTCATACTAATCTTTCTATTAAACATGAAGCAGCAGCAGCTGAGGTTAAACGAGCCAGAGACAAGGTTTGGAGTCCTAACTGTGCTTTTCTCAGATCTGGGGCCACACCGAGGTGCATGCTCAGCAGTCAAGTTTAAAAGGATAAATCCAGATACTGTCACCTTACACCAGGAGTCAACTGTGTTGCTAGGGAGACAAGCAGGTGGGCTGTGGCTGGTAGTGGGGAGGTTGCCTGTGGAGAGAGAAATGTCTTGCTATCACTCTGGTAGCATGATGGCAGCTGAAGTGCCAGGAGACCAGAGAACACAAAGCCATGCCAATGAGAACAATGCCCCACTGGAGTCCACCCTTGGAGTCGGAAACAAGCAGCTCAGGCTCATGGCCGTAAGCTGTTCCACAGCTCCAGCAGTTGACCTTATTGCAGTGGGAGAAGACAGGGTAAGGCAGGGGCTCGGTGAGGTATGTATCAATACTCTTGGGTGCGCACCGTGCTCCAGGCCCTGCCAGGCCCTGCCAGGTGCTGGGAGCAGTGGTGAGGAGGACGCATCTGTCCCAGCTTGTGCATCTGGGGGCTGGCTGCCGCTGGTCTGGCCTCAGAGTGAGGCCACCTGCCCACGAGCAGCCAAGGAGGCGGAGTTCACGATGGGGCCTTGAGACAGATTCTGCCCCTTAACCCTGGGCTTCTCAACCCTGGCTGCGCCCTAGGGTCATCTGGGGAGGCTCTTCCTTCCTTTCTGATATGCCACATCTTGGTTACTCATTCATAAGTGGATGGACAGTTCGGTTGGTTCCGCTTCGGGGCTATTGAGAATAGTGCCCATTCATGTACAAGTTTTACACTGGCCCAGCTTTGTATTTTTTGGAACATTCCCATACAAGCACTTGTGTGAATGTTTTCAGTTCTCTTGGGTATATACCTAGGAGTGGAATTGTTGAGGCATCCATTTAATTTTTAACTCTGACCCTTGTTTCATGTAATCCATAACACACACTGTAAACTTGAGTTCCAAGACACTGAATATTTATTTTCCTGAACACGGCGTGGGCGTTCCCCACAGGCCCGTTAGTGGCTCTGCCTGCTTCTCTACACTTCTCCCTCCGCATCAGGACCCTCTCCGTGCCCAGAGCTCTCCAGTGTGGAGATGGGCTGCAAGGCTGGCTGATGGCTGCCAGAGCTTCTGCTGCTTCAGCTCAGAGTTTTGGAAAAACATCTCAGAGGATGTGCTCCACTCCCAGCCTTTGTTCTCTCCATCTCACTCTTCCTTCTCTGTGCTACCCTTCACTGTGCTTATAGGAACTTTCTCTAGCTGTCAAGAGCTCTCAGAATAACACACATTTCTTTCTTGGCTGTCCTCCACACGGTGCATCCACACTTGTTGCATTTTCTACATTTCCTTTTTTTTTTTTTTTTTTAACCTTTATTGATTTCAGAGAGAGGAAGGGAGAGGGAGAGATAGAAACATCAATGATGAGTCATTGATCCGCTGCCTCCTGCATGCCCCCCTGCTGAGGACTGAGCCCACAGCCCCGGCATGTGCCCTGACCGGGAATCGAACCACAATCTCCTGGATTGTAGGTCGATGCTCAACTGCTGAGCCATGCCGGCCAGGCTACCACATTCCTTTTTTCAAAAAATTGAGATGTAAGTTGCATAACCATTTTAAAGTGTACAACTCAGTGTTTTTAAGCATATATTGTCTCTGTGGTGCAGTCATCACCTCCATCTCATCCCACAGGCTCCCTTTGGAGAGCTTCCCCAGCTTGCCCCCTCCCCTCCCCAGCTGAATTTCACATGGTAAAACCAGGAGAGGCAAAGTGACCACAGGTGATGGTTTTCCTTTCTGTAGCCTTGTGCTCTTTTTGTTACTTTTTGAGAGCAAGTAGAGGAGCTTTTAAAACTATATTGATGCCAAGACCAGTTGAATCAGACCTTCAGGTGGAGTCCTGGCATGGGTAACCCCCCCAGGGGATTCCAACATGTTGGGGTGGGAACCCTGCCAAGAAGCAGCCAAAGCTGCTCCCAGCAGGAATTATGCCCTTGTTCCAGGAGGGGAACATTCATGGTTCTACATCCATGACTGCCCACCACCCTGACTCTGCACTGGGAAGGCCCTGAGCCAGCCAGGGTCGTCTCTCTGAAGACCTGAGGGCACCTGACCATCCCACTTTCCTTCTTCTATTGCCATAGTTGATGACCCTGACCCACTGTCTCCTGCATAGATGTCCTCAACAGCTCCCCGTGGCCTGTAGGAAAGCATGCGACCCCTGGCTGGTGTGAACACCCGCCTTGCATTTCTGCTCCATTCCCCACCAGCCTTGTCCGTTTCCTCCTTCTCCTCCTCCCCCAACCCCTACCTCTCCACTCCCACTACAGTTCCCTCTAGGCCCTCTGCACCTTTGCTGTTCCCTGTTTGGGTTCCCCCACCCCCAACCCCCTGCTTCATCTTACCAAGCTCAACTCTATGGTCCTGGCTTCCCGGTCTTCCCCCTGCTGCTGCAGAGGTCATTCCCCTGTCCCAGGGCGCAGCACCTCCGTGTGGTCTAGCCTGACATTGCACTCCCTGGAACAGCTTCTGTGTCTACGCCTCCTGGAGCAACTCGGGTCCCAACACTGCAGATTCATCTGGGTCCCCAGCTACTGCACAAGGTCTGGCACTGCCTGGGTGACTGAATGTGAGTGACTGGTGGGAAAAGGAGGCCTTTGTGACTGGCTTGAGAGTATTGGGGTAATCAAGTCCCCATGGATGTTGTGGCTCCAGTGGGGTATCTGAAGGACTGAGGAGGCGTTAGCCTGCAGACACGAGAAAGAAAAGCCTTCACAGCAGTCAGAACTTCTTTGGGCTCTGGGTAGCTTCAATCCAGACTTTCACTTCCATCTCCAGTGCTGCTGCTTCTGCGGGTGGGGTGGGGACAGTTTGGTGGGGTCAAGTGCGGGCACGGCCCTGCCCTGCTCATACCTGCCCTCCATGGTAAACATCAGAGAGCGGCAGGGTGAAGGGGATCCAAGTTCCAGGTCCTGCTCGTCTTAGGCCTGTCTCTCTCTTACCTGGGCAGTCACACTGCCCACCTGCCAAGAGGGCAAGAGCCAAACTTCAGAGCACCTGTGGGACACTGATCCTCCACATTAGCAACAAGGCCCTGTCCTGCCCTGACCACCCAGGTCCACCTCTGCCGGAAGCTTGGGGAGGAAGGGTGGGTGTTGCAGCCAGTCTCCAAGATGGCCCCAATGACCTTGGCCTCTTGGTTTTCAGACGCTTGTGTGATCTCCTGTGTCAAATCAGCTGGGGGAGTATGGTGGTGACAGTGTGTGGATTCTGAGGCTAGGGGAAAAACATTTTGGCTTTGACTTTGGCCCTTACTTCCTGTGCTCTGAGGGAAACCAGACACCGTACTGTGAGGACACTGGAGCAGCCCTGTGGGGAGACCCATGTGGAGAGGAACGGAGGCCTCCTGCCAACAGCAGCCCTGTGAATGAACCGCCTTGGAAGGGGATCCTCCAGTCCCAGCCAAGCCTTCAGAGGACTGCAGCCTCATGAGGGGCTCTGAGCCTCAACTACCCAAAGTGCCTCCAAATTCCCCACCCACAGAAGCCGTGCCACGTAAACAATCATTTCAAGCCATTAAGTTTGGGGCAACTTATTCCGCAGCATCTGGTAACTGATACACCCCTCTTGCTCTGGGGGCTGTTTCCTGTCTGGTTCTGGGTGTTGGGCTGGAAGCTTTTCTGCCTTCCCAGCCCCTGGCCTGGGCTCCCCTGACCACAGGATGGAGAGAGGGGAGATGAGCCGTGGCCCTGGATCCGAACAAAGTGAGACAGCTGTCAGCCAACATCGTTTTCTCCATTTTAATTAACACTTTACAAAGTACAAAATATACTGTCTTTTTTGGGGAACATTAGGTACTTTTTTCTCTCCGTCATACAGTACATGAATCTCGAGGGTTTTGTTTCTTCAACAAAGTAAGTAAGCGTGAGGGGCCTGGGTGTAGGGCTGCCCAGTCCTCCCCTTCCCCCAGGGCCAGGGCCAGGGCCAGGGCCAGGGCCAGGGCCAGGGCCAGGGCCAGGGCCAGGTGCCACTGCTACTGCTGGTGACCTGGGCCATGCCAGGCGAGGGCCAGATTCCCCAAGATGAGGCCCTGGGCAGGCAGAGGCCCTGCAGAGCCTCACTGTGCATCCAACATCCACTCGCCCCCATCTTGGGATAACGGAAATGATTTTGGCATATAGTAAGAAGAGGGCTTGGGAGTTTGTGTTAGATGCCCCCCTCCCCAGTTTTGGAGCCAAAACTGCTCAGTTCTTCCTGGGCCATTTCTGAAAAGGTAAACTGAGGCAGCGGACAGAAAACACATTGAGCTTGGTCTCTGTCTTGGGACCTGAATTTGGCCTGTTTTTCATCTTTCCCCTCCCAACCCCCTGGTCTCCAATGTTGCTGGACACCCTTCTCGGAGGAGCCCCAGGAGGTGAGGGGCCCAGCACCCACAGCCTCTCCCTGTGAATACTGACTTCGGGACTGGATGCTTCTGAGGAGTCACCCGCCAGGTCCAGCCTTTCAGTCCCATTGTGTGGACAGAGTCCCTGTCCCAACCACAGAGCAGTGTTAACAAAATCAAGTGGCCTCGGGCAGTCTTCCAGGTCTGCCACCCCCCCCTTCCCCCACCCCGCCCAACCTCAGCATGTGGCCCACAGGTTAAAATGGTACCAAGGCCTCAAAATACTGAATGAGCCAGTCTCTTAGCTCAGGTTTGGACTCCGCACACATATGCTCCAACACACACTAATGTGTATGACACAGCACATACTCACACATCATGTGTAAGTGCAAACACGTGTGGCCATGCACAGAACAATGTCCTGACTCCCAGGGCGGAGGGCACCCTGTACTCCTGACTCTCACAACCCCCCCGCCGTCCCCCTGAACAGAGAGCCACAAACTCCCGCACCACCAGCTGCCCACGGGTGCCATGAGCTGGGCTGCAGGCTTCTGCCTCTACTCTAGGCCACTCAGCCAGCAGCTCCCGTCTTTACTCTTTACCTTCCCAACACAGCAGGCTTCCCAGGAGTGCGCAAATATCAAAGCCGAAGGCCACAGCCCACCCTGTGGCTTTCCCCCACGGCCTATGCAAACAATATGAGACTGTTAAGGTTGTCCTTTGGATGCCTCTAATTTGAAAATGAAAACCCCCCACAAACTAGAATGGGCTCCGAGATCCAGCTATACCAGGGCTCAACCACCCTCGCAACAAGCCCCGGCCACTCTCCCCAGGCCTGCCCTCCTCCCAGGCGGCCTCTTTGAGTGGAGGGCTACCGCTTGCTCTAGGCCTAGCCCCTTCCTGAGCACAGCAGCTAGGAAGCCTGAGGAGGAGTCTTCCCACTGCCAGGGGCTCCATGCCCCTCCCCTAAGCGCCTCTCAAGCCAACCAACTCCATTCCCAGAGGCTGGGGCAGCAGCGGCTGGCCGCTCCCCAGCCCTGACAGTGGCAGATATTTTGGGGGTGTTTTCTTCCTACCCCCCACCCAGTGTTCACTCAGGAAGTGGGATCAACAATTTCTCAGGGCTGGAGTGTTCTGCTATTAACAGGGAGAGGCCCAAGGTCCCCTCTCTTAGCTGGGGCTGGGAAGGGCCCTAGCTGCCCCCACATCCAGACTCAGAGCCTCAGAAAGGTGGCTCAGGGTGGCCGTGGGGATTCTAAACGTCTGCCCAGAAAATGCAGCCAGGAAGGGCCGGAGGTGGGAAGGCAGGTTCATCTTTGATTATTAGGCAAATGGTATCCGTGGCTGGAAACAGGGGCCTGGTCCCTTCCAGATCCTCAGACTTCAAGGCATTCTGTCGTCTCAGTGGGAACAAGCCTCACCAGACCACACATCTTCTTTTGGAGACTATACAGGTCCCTGAGGCCATGCTGCCTGCTGGGGGAGGCCAGTGGGCAACTCTAGGTCGCCTGGCTCCCTCCCTGCCCACCAGGGCCCTGTAGCCTGGAGGTGGTGAATGCTGGTGCTGGGGGGCTCTTGACCCCCTGAATCTTGGGGAGGGGAGGTCTGCACGCCTCTCCAGCTTGGGTGTGTACCCTGGGCTAAGGGCAGTGGCATGGGTGGTGCCTCTTGTGGGGCTCTGGAGACTCTTAGGGAGCAAGGAGGTGCAGAGCTGGCATTGTGCATCTTTGCTATGTCTGGACTGGGGGCTGAAGGGGCAGGAGTTTCCTGGGAACCAGAGAAGCCCAGGCTGAGGATGGAGGAGAGGCAGGTTTTTACAGTTGGGGATGAGGGAGAAGGGTGGTCATGACACCTCCTCCCTCACTCTCCCCTCCTTGAGCTCTCCCCATTGCAGTGTACAGGGATGGGGTGGGCAAGGGGTAAGGGTGGCATTTAGATAGTTCAAGCTTTTCTTCCCAGGGAGTGGCACCAAAGCAAAGACACAGGGCCTGCCTGCTCCCCCTGAGGCAGCCTTGCCTAAGAACTCAGCTTTCCTCCCCATTCTGCATGCCCCACCAACCAGAGCCAAGAAATCCTCCGGGTATATTCCTCAGGCCACCTCTCTGGCAGGTCTGGGTACATGCTCCCTCCAAGGAGAGCCTGAGGTCTGGAGATCCCACACCCAGCAAATCTGGAGATGGTGGGGGCTGGGGGGTGAGGGGGGCGAACTGCTGGCCAGTCGGAAAAGCACTCATGCCTGCCCCCCACCAAATGCTGTGGAGACCAAATCAGGGACTCTGCTAATCACGGGCACACACAATCCAAGAGGATGCGCCTGCCCAGCCTCCGTGGGCCTTTTCACACAGCAGGACTGGAGCTGGGAAAATAAAGGGTGGGTTTCCCAGGTGGCAGTTGCCCCATTCCCTCCCTGGACACACATCAAGGGCATACGCAGGTCCGCTTCTCAGTTAGACAGGGCCAAACCCCAGGAGGAGACCTGGGAAAAGAACCTGGGGTTGCTAAGCTTGCAGGTGAAAACAATCAGGTAAAGCAATCAGTGTGAGCACAGCTCCTAGAGGGGAGCAGACCTGGACGGAGACTCGGGATGACCGTCCAGCTGGCCTGGGGCTTCGGGTGGGGAGAACTGGGAAGGGAGCTGTTCTGTTCAAAAGCAAGAGGTTCCAACTCCTCCACTCTTTGCTCTACCATCTTCCAAACACAAGAGTGTCAGGGGTCTTGGCCGTGGAGATGGGGGTGCAGAAAGGGGCTGAACCCAGCATTCAAGGGAGACTGGGGAGAAACCCTCGACACCCCCACCTGGGCTGCTGGTTTGTTTTTCTGTCAAGTCAGGGCCGAGGTAGCGGCCAGCTGGCTTCTCTCAGTCGTATTGCCTATATACTTGAATTAAAAATACACGGTGGCTCAAACGTGCCTGTGTGCACGGCAGAAATGGTGGGTGAGGCCCTCACGCCCACACACACGCATACACACAGTGGGGTCTGCATCCACGTACCACACACACGTGTGTGCGTGCCCACACAGTATATATTAACATATATATTGCTCAAGTATATATGCTATTTACAGTATATATCTATATCAACATAAAACACAGGTATTTATACGTGTGTACAATAGATACGCCCTAGGGGCCTGGGGAGCACGCATTTTTGGGGTCACGGGGCCTACACACTTGCTCAGAAGGGAAAAAAGGCCAAGTGACGTGATCAAGGGGACGGACATGAAGGGGCTGGGAGAGATGTGCCATGGAAAACCAAGGCCTTCCAGGGACAGAAAGGGGACTTGGGGCTTCAAGTGCTGCCCTAACCAGTTGGCCACTCCCATTTTGGAACCAGCAAACAAGTTACACGTTTTGGTTGTTATGGAGTTTTGTGCAAAATGAATTAACTTAAAAAAAAAAGATAGGCTCCTAATCAGTGCATGGGCCCTGAGATCTCCAAGGATCCAGCTCAGCTGCACAGCTACTGCATCTGGGGGCTTTCAGGGCACAAAGGGTCCCACACAGCTCAGAGAAGGGGGAGTGGGGCTCACACAGGCCCTTTACCAGCCCAAGAAAACACCCCTTTTCCTCTGAGCTTCTCAAGGACAGCACAGATCAGCTGATGCCCGAGGAAGAGCACCAGGAAGGGCAGGGGCCACAGCAGGCCCTGTGAGTTCAGAAAGCACCCCCCGCTGGAGAGGAGGCACCAGGACTCACCCCATTCTGCCTGGGAAGCCTCCAGGGGGACCTGCCTGCCTCAGCTGGCCTGCCACCTGGCTGTCCACCTCCCTGGGCCCTCAGGTCCCCAGATACTTAGAAGCACAGCTGCCTGGGTACCTGTCATTAGGCCTGGCAGGGCAGCCCTGTATGGGGCACCCTGGGGGCCCGTGTAGTAACAGACCTCTGCTCCCAGTGTCCTGCTCCGGAGAGGGTCAAAGGCCCCAGTTCTTATGTTTGTCCCTGGAGTCACAGGGCACCAGCCAAGTGATGCTGAGCCTCTGGGCCCCCCAAAGAACTCAGTAGGCCCTGTCTCTTGAAACAGCTGCCAACCACAGCCTGGGCGCAAATACATTAAATAAGAAACTAAAACAAAGTATGGTTTTCTCTATTAAGGCTCAGATAAGCTGCCTCCCAGGTCAAGTACTCATGAATGCCACAGTCCCCGAATGAGGGGCGGGCAGGCAGGTGAGTTGGGGGCAGAGGCCTTTCATGTTCCCCAAAGTGGGGCAAGGGAGGGGACAGGACAAGGGAGCCCTGTGCTGGTCAACTGTTGGGGAAGTGGGGGTGACCTAAGAAACCCCAGGCCCAGAATGCTGGGAGTACCCCCACTTGGGGGAAACCGAGGCTCCACCTGCCTGGGCAGGGTCCAGGGAAAGCAGCGGCGACAGGAGCTCGTGCCCTAGGCTGGTGGGTCTCCTGGGAACCACCCTCCCAGGAGTGAGTGCTTGTGGTGGGGAGGGTCTGGACAGGGCCCCCTTGGCAGTCTTGCTGGGAGTTGGGGCACAGGGTCTGCGGCTGGCAGGCAAGGTTCCGGATGGCTGGGGTCTTCCCCAGCTTGGGGCCCCACTCGAGCTTGGCCGAAGTCTCACCAGCACATGTCCCGAAGGCCGCCCACTGGCCTCCACTCTGGGAACCAGCCCCGAGCTGATGGAACCAGAGACCAGGAACCACAGAATCCAGCTTCCCACCCTCATGGGGGCCTCCCCAGGCTCTATGAACTCAGCCCAGCGTGACCCGTCCCCCAAGATAACACACGAATTTGTACCCCAGTGTCTTGTAGGAGGTGCCAGCTTACGTCAGTGTTTGCCCCTGGCTGAGGGCAAGGCTGGGTGAGGAGGTGGGTCAGCTCATCTGCTCCCTGGACCTCAGACGGCATTCTCTGGAGTGGGGGTGGAGGGAGGAGATAGGGGTGTTCTCTGGAGGGTCTGGGGGCTCTGGGAAGGCAAGATGACACGAGGCGGCCCTGGCCTGGGCTCCAGGCCTTGCGGAGTCAGCAATTGGGGGTATCTCTGAGGTCCCTTCCTTGGGGGACCTAGGGCCGATTTTCCAGTCTGTTGAGAAATACTGCAAGAAGAATCTTCGGGAGGGGGGTGGATGGGGAGGAGTGAGACCCTTCTAATGCTTCTCTCCTTGGCTGACTTTCAGGGCGCTGATGACGCCGTTAATGTTTTCTTCCGGTACCTGCAGAGGGCAGGAGGCAGCAAACGGGTGAGCTCCTGGGGCCAGCTTCCCTGCCCCGGGGCCAGGGCTGGACACTCACCAGTGCGTGGTCGAACTTGAAAGTACTGATGTAGTAGGCGGGGATGTCTGCAGCAGCCAAGGGCTCGGAGATCTGGGCTACAATGCCACACTCATCTGGGGACAGAGGTGGGGACTGTGCTCAGCCTTACGCAGCATTATCACCCGTGCACCCTCGGCCCTTCTCGCTTCTCGGCCTTTCCCCTCTCTCTGCCAGCAGTGCCTGTCCTGCACCCACAATCTTCCCAGAGAATTCTCACCCTCCTTGTGAAGGCCTGGTGCAAAGGTCCCTCGATCCAGGAGCCTGCTCTGACTCCCTCGGCCAGCAATGAGCTCTCCATTCAGTTCCTACTTTGGCCACCCTCTGTTTCCATGCTCTATAGCCCCAATTAATCTTCCTGGCCATCTTTAGTTCTCTGATGGAGCTGGAGGCAGTGTGAGCAATGGAACACATGGTTCAGGCCCCCTTTTCTGTCACTGACTCTTTCTAACCCTATGACTGTGCCCAAGTAAATTCTTCTCTCTGAGCGTCAGTTTCCTCAGTGGAGCCCTCGCTGGGTGATCCTCATGGCAGTGTCAGGCGTTCGGTTGGGGCTGAGATGTGACTTCTACTCCCTCTAGCATCTGAAGCAGGGTCTGTGGTGCTTTCTGGTCTCCCCAAAACCTCATCTGATAACCCTTGGGGCTAGTCTTATCCTCACCAGCAGCTTCCTCCCTGATTTAAAGGCACCATTCAAGGCTTCCTCCTACAGGAAGATCTCCAGGATCTAAGGACTACTCCTCTCCAATACAATCCCATGCGTTTTCCTAAAAGCTACTATTCGGATTTTGATGATGATGCATTTCCCCAACACTGTCCCTCCTGACTGGGGGTGGGGTAGGGGTAGAGTTAGGATCTGGTCGCCAGCTCCCATGGGATTCTGGGGCCTAAGCCCGGAAATTAACCTGGACCCCACCTCCATAGTCACCACACCCAGCATCCGATCTGACCCTCCACTCCCTGGCCCTGGCCTGCTCGTCAACCCACCCAGGGACCTGTGCAGTGACCCTGGAGGTCTCTCAAGTTACCGCTTTCTCCTTGGTCCACCAGGCTTCTGGCCAGACCCCTTTGGTGGCTGTGCAGGCCTCATGCCTACACTCCCGGGGACTGGTTGTGTCCTGAGACACCTTCAGCTACAGACACAACTATTTCTATAGGAGGAGGGGAGGAACTCAGGGTTTAGAATGGTGCATTTCAAATTACAGGTTGGGGCCCATTTGTGACATTAATTTAGAAGGCTGGTGACCAGCGTTTTATAAAATGACACAATGGAAAAGGAAAGGCCAAACGGCACAGCACGTGGCTAGGGGAGTGCAGTTTTGTGACACTGCAGTTCGAGTTGTCTGGGGGTGTGTGGTGTGCACGCTGGGTTATGATGTAAAATATATTTACTCCAACCATGGTCAAACACACATGGGATTCACCGGTCTAGACTGTTCAGCTTCTAAATCACCTTTCTTGCAGGACTCCTCAGAGCTATCAGCATGGCTCTAAACTCTCCACACCCTGGGAGGGCAGAGCCAGCGGCTGCCTGCTCGGCTCACATGGCGTCTTACACCCTTTCCCCATCGCTCTCCACGAGGCCACGCTCTCCCCCAGCAATGGGCAGACGTTTGCCAACCGAGAGATGGTTGTTTCAGCTCCTATCCCACCTGTATTTTATTTCTCCTTCATCCCGGCTCTTTGGGTAATATTATTATACTGAGTGTAACTGGGTAACCTCAGAAGCAAAGCTGGGGATAAAGAGATAAGCAGACATCTGTGTCTTCCTGCCTCTTTCTGTGTCCCCTGGTGACCCCTGGCTGCTCCCCTCACCTGCGAAGCCCCACTGGTCTCTACCGTCGGGGACAAGTGGCGGCGGACCCCTTAGTCTGGCGTCAGGACCCTGCCTCTCCGCCTGGGAGGACCTGGCAAGTTTCCTCTCCTACCCTTTCCCCCCTTGGACTCTACCCAGGGTCCAGGGGCCTGGGTGACGTGGAGAGGAGTTATGTCACACCTCCCTCTGCTGGTATTGCCCTCTCCTCCCTGGTGGCCCAGTGAATATCCACCGGTCAGCTTTAGCGCTTCCTCTTGCCAGAAGCCTTCCCTTCCTGAACCTTCTCCAAGCCACCAGGATCCTTACAGGTGACAGTGACAGCAACTGCTGCTTGCTGAGCACTCAGTGTGACTGACACCTTATGCAGTGCTCAGAATCACCCTGAGGCAGCATCTTTACAGATCAGGAAACTGAAGCTCAGAGTTAAGCAACAAGCCTGAGGTCCCACTTCCAGCCTCCTTCACTGGTGAGTGCCTCTGGGCTACTATATCTTCACAACCCCACAACCCTGCACCGGGCAGCAAATGTAGGCAGGAGGAATGCTGGCGTTTGTGGAGGTGGCGAGAGAAAACACGTTGGGCCTGGGGTCAGACCAGGAGCCTTCAGTGTACATTTACGACCACTGTCCTACCTCCAGGATGGCTCTGGCTTTGGCCTGATGTCAGCAGAGTTAGGGGGCACTGTCTGTCTATCTGCAAACTCATGAGAAAGGTGGAAGCAGGTGGCAGAACCTGGCTCCATCAACCCCTTGCTCCCAGGTCAAAATGCCCTGCCGCTTCTGTGTCCTGTACCAGGAGCAGAGCCCTTGGGGCTGACCTGATGGCCCTTGGAGCAGTGTGAGCGTTACGGGAGCACTCTGTACCTTGTCTATGAAATCAGGGTCACCGATCCCACTGGGGCTTGCCGAGGATGCTCCCTGGAAATGACCACTCTGATTTACCAAGAGCTGCTTCTGGGTTCAAGCTCTTGGGTCTAATGGTCTAGCCCAAGGAAATAACTTCTAATCAAGACAGAGCTCCACTCCCAGGCACCCTACAGTCACTCCCAGTGGGGCCCCAGCCTGCACCTCACCCCTTCTAGCTGAGAGGTCTGAGGCCTGGGGCCCCTCGGAAAATGCTTATGGAGGAAACTACCAAAGACACTGTGTGGAGACTTGTAGAAAGTGCCGTTAGGCTGAGTCAGAGGGAATTACTGTGACTTTCTCCATGGGATCAGGTCACTGTGGCTCTGGTGGAGGAAGTGCTCCTCCCAGGACAGAAGGTGTAAAGAGTGGGATGTCTGAGACTGACGTGCGATCAGTGAACACATTTACTTATGGGAAGGAAACATTAAAAACTACAATAGCATTACCTGTGAGCAGAGGGACTAAGGAGTGATTTTATTTCCCTCTTCAATTTTTATTATGTCCCAATGTTCTAATAATAAGCAGGTATTACTTTTCTAGTGGGGGGAGAAAGAAGAGTGCTTTGGTTGAAGCCATTCCTGCCATCCTCCAGAGGCCTGTACCTCCTGTCACCCACTTGTCAGGCAACTCAGGCTCCCTAAATCCCAGTCTCCCCATCTGTGCCACAGGGCACAGACAGTCTGAGTGACCCTGGGGGACATGAGTTCCCCAGCGCTTGAAGGCACTCGGCAATGCCAGTCCCCCAACCCCCACCACTGAACCCCACAGTTCTCACCAAATCCCAGGGGCTGTCCTCCAATCCGCACCATCTTCCAGAGCTCGCCAGATGCGCTTGTGAACAACAAATTACTAGGAAACCTTAAAAGGGAGTGAGAGAAAACCCCCCGAGGCTGATGTTAACAGTGCGCCCTGGCCAGCACTCCATGGAGATTTCCTTGCCAAGCCCCTGCTCCACCTGCCACAGGATGGCCCCTGAGGACTCCTGCCGAGCCCTCCACCCACTCTCTGTGCACCCTCCCTGCCTGGGCGTGGGGGGCAGGAAGGCAGCTGGGACTGGCTGTGCAACAACTGCCCCTCCCCAGCTCCAGAGAGGGGGCTGAGGGACAAATGGCACTTGAAGGACCAGGGGCCTTTGTCTCTAAGTTGCTGCTCACCTGCAAGGAAGGGTTGTGGGTGATTAGGGGCAAAGTGGGTGATGTGCCCACCACGGGGCCCAGCCCACCCTGGGTCAACCTCCGACCCGTGGCCCGGCTCACCTCTGCTGCGTCTGCACGTCCATCACCAAGGAGATGTAGCCCTCAATGAGGGAGAAGGAGAAGAAGCGGATGTGGCCACAGTCATCACTGGCAGCCATTGGGTCCTTCACGCTGGGGGCAGGGGTACTGGTGAGGGGTGGAGTAGGGGGCCCCACTGCACCTCGACCCCCACCTGGCTTTCCTGCCCTGCCGGCGAGCCTCAGCATGAGCTGCTGGGAAGAGCACTGGCTGGGAGAGCAGGGTGAGTTCTGGCCCTGACCCTGCCTTGCTGGGTACCCCTGAGCCAGCGTCCCCCTGGGTCTCCGTGAGATGCGCAGGACTGCGCGGCACTCACGGTGGTGAGCACAGCACTCCGCAGCGCTGGAGACCAGCTGGCCCCCAGGGCAGCCTACACTTGCCCCTTCCTAGGCGGGGTTCTCCATCCCCGTGTGAGCCCACATCTTAGGGCACCCACCCGACCTGGTGCTGGCCTAAATTTACAATCGGCTCTGAGGAAAAATACAAAGCCTATCATCCCCGAATGAAAACCCCCGAGGTCACCGCTCCTCAAGGACTGAGCCTGCCCTTGGAGCTCAGGGGACAGCGGGGTGTTTGTTACATACACATGTACACCTGGGCTTCACCAGGTCTTGAGATTCCCAAGGAAGAACGTCTCCCTTCTCAGAATGCGGCTTTTGGGTAGAGCTACCCCTCCCCCACTCCTGCCCACCCCAGACTAGCTTCAGGGGTGCATCTGTGTCTCCCCTTCAGACTAGCGCCCAGGGCAGGTCTGTCTCCCTGATGAGGCGGGCTCCTCAGCGCAGCCATGGTTCCTCTCGGCTCACCCTGGGCCCCGCACACCCAGGGGGTCCTACCCGTTGGAGTAGAACATCACGTCCATGAGGAGTGTGGCAACAGCAGGCAGCGTGTCGGGGTCCAGGCTGGTGACACAGAAGCTGTTGCTTGGGCTGGACAGTGGGTGGATGACGGGCCTCTGGACTGTGAGGGGGCAAAGACAAGGGTGCTGAGGCCGGTAAGAGAGGAGCAGCGAGTGGCGGGTGGAGGCCCAGAAGAGGGCCGGGGTAAGCCACAGACACTCTGGGAGGCCTGGCTACAGGCCCTGAGACCTGGCCCATCATTCTTAGCTTCCACCACCACCTACAGCTCTTCTGATATGCGAGGCTCACATGCAGGCCCTTTGCACATGCCGTACCATCTGTCTGGAATGCCCTTCCCGACCTTCACCGCCTGGCTTAGCTCCTACTTGTGTTCAAGCTTCAGCTAGAGAGTCACTGCCCCTGGGAGGTCCGCCCTGACACTGGGGGCCAGGTTGGGAGTGGCCTCTGGCCATCGCTGATTGTGTCCACATCTACGACCCTTATTAGATCTTGGGAACAGGGTCTGAACAGACTCCCCCACTCACCCATCTTGGGCTTCACAAAGCCATTGGTGATGCCAAGGTTCTCAGCTGCCACCGTCTCACCATTAACGACCCGCAGAATGGTAAACTCTGATGACAATGTGTGGGTGACAAAGGGCAGGTCCCGCTCACGTACCTGGGGAAGGGGAGTCAAGGATGTGAGTGTCCCATGGTCCCTGGATCGAGTGGGCATGGGGGCAGTAACCCCTTCACTCTGAGATTCTGCCCCAGAACCAGCTTCCCCTGTTCTTGCCTCCTGCTGTCCAGGTGGGGGATGGGAGCCTTGGACCAGAAACACACCTCTCTAGGGGCAGCAGGAATGATGTGGGGGGGGAGAAGACACCACACTGAGGGCCGAGAGGTATAAGTCCGTCCCCCACCCCACCCTCTTGAAGGCTGTGCCCAGACCTGTCCCTGCCTCTCCCCTGGCTATGCTCTCGAGGGTGGCCTTGCCCCCTGGGAGAGAAAGAATGACATGGTGACCAGGAGCTGTCTCTGGCCCCATGACCAAACAGACATGCTTGCCATCCTGGCGTGTGGGTGGGGGTGTGGGGAGACAGATGTCCAGCTGAGAGGGTAGCCCACCCACACTCCTGGCCTCTAGGTCAAACCAAGCATGGCCCACACAAAAGGCAGGCGGTGGGTGAGGTGGGGCAGAGACCTAGAGCCCAGCCTGGTCGTAACAACATTTGACTCATGAGCCCGACATCCCCGACCTCTCTCGGAGCTGGTCAAAGAATGGGGGCCATAGAACTTTGCAGACAATGTCTGCGGGGGGTGTCCCTGTCGCCCAGCAGCTGCGATTACCAGGATGAAGTCCGTCTGGTAGGTGGACAGCATGAACACGGAGATGTTCTGGTCAGCCAGCGGGGCGATGACCGACTTGGCGATCTTGGTCACCCCGATGGGCTGGGAGCTGGAAAAGCTGCCGCCACCTGACACGACATTGAGGGCCAGCCAAGTGGCGTCTGCCACGCTCAGGTGCTCCGAGGAGGGCAGCTCTGGAGGGGAACACAGAAGGCAGGCCTGTGACTGATGGGACCCCGGTCCCCAGGGCAGAGCAGGCCACAGAGGTAGGGACTGACACGTGGGACCAGCTGTGTGACCTTGGCCAGGTCCACCCTCTGGGCCTGAGCTCTCAACTGTCAGGACAACGGGATCGGCCTCAGAGGTTCTGTTGCGGGAGGATTGAGCCAGGGAGGCCTTCAGATGCGTCAGGCAGCTCACTAGGGCGGGAACTATGGGGACACGTGGTTTATCTGTGTTGGGCCTCAGTTTCTTCAACCGTGAAATGATGAGTACTCAGCTGTCAGTAACGATTCTGTCCTCACTCCCTCTGGGTGGCAGGTGTTGCCATCACCACCTCAGAGCAGTGGAATGGGTCCCACGGTTTTCAAATTGGGTTCCCAGGAACCTCTCAAGAGGCTGGAGGTAGAGGGGAGGTCAGGAGACGACAGGATGGGGGCCCTGGGTTTCCTCCCCGCTTCAATCAGGCCTGCCTGCTGGGCTTCTCTGGAAGAACACCCAGCTCCAGCAGGGCTCCTGATGATGCCACTGTCAGGTGGGCAGTGACTGTTGTCCAAGTCCCTCCCGAGAGCCCAGGAGTCCTGGGGGCTGGCACTGGCAGGGCACGGTGGGGAGGTTCAGAGTGACAGCCACCGCAGAGTCTCCCTGACTAGCTCATGAAGACCCGTGTTCCGTATGTTTGGACCACCCCTTTCACTCCATCCTGTTGAGAGCCCCCAGAGAAGCCTGTGCACGGGATGTGGGTACACATGTGTCTCCACAAATACGCGGCCAAGGAGCTGAGCAGAGGCTGCACACAGGACTCTCCACGCATCACAGGCACCTGCTCAAATCCACCCCACAAAGGGACTGTCGCTCTCCCTGTTGATACCACAAACCAGAGCTCTGAGAGGGCAGTCATTTGCCCAAGGTCACTTAGGGAAAAACAGTGCCAGGATTGAAACCCAGGCCTGACACCCCCATGCTCTGTCCTGGGCACCAAATGGGAAGAAGAGCCAGGTCTGGGACCGGGGCTAAGGAGAAGAGGGGCCCAGGCACCCGGGATGAAGATGACAATGCCCCAGGGAAGGCTGCTCTGGCCTCAGGCAAAGGCTTCCAAGGAAGGGAAATTGAGTGAGGCCCCACCAGGCTCCTACCTGCCCAGCTCGGTCGTCATGGTGACCACAGCCCGGCCAGCCCATTGGCCCTGCTGGCTGGGAAGGGCCAGCCCTTGGCCAGGCTGGCGGAGAGGCGGGCGGCTTTCCCAGAAAAGGGAAAAGGTTTGGAAGGGAGAGCTGGAGAAAACGTTTTAAAAGGCGCTGGGTCCCGGGCAGCTGTGCCTAGTCTCTCCGCCCATTACCCGAGGTGTCAGAAAAGAGATTTCTCAGCCCCAGGGCCGCCAGAGCAAACACGCTCCCAGAACCGGAGGCCAGCTCAGTTCTGAAATTCTAATAATTCTGTTCCTGGCTCCCAGCCCTGGATAGAAGCCCCACAGGTTCTTCAAGTGGCAGGGCTGGAATGAGAGGGTGCTCAGCTCTGGACCCGCGGTCACCCCTCTGAGGCATCCAGAAGGGGGAGCTTTGTCAAAGTGGCAGAAACAGCTGGAGACCACGGCATTTGTGGCCTCTGACCCCATGGACCCCAAACGCTGCCCTGGCATTCTGGGGGAAAGGGAAGGGCTATCTAGGTGCCATCCTCACCCCGGGCCAAGCCTTGGGGTGCCCGAGGTGCTGCTTTGGGGCTGCAGGGACGAGCTGCCAAGAGGCGGCGAGCTGGCTTTTCCCTGGAGGAAAAGTGGACCCATTCCAAGACTGAAATGGATTATCTCTGTCATTGCCCATCGTCCAAGGCCCTAAAAATAACTCTTGGAACTGAGGACGCTCCCTCGTAGAGGAGGTAACAGTGTCTCTCCACCCTCCTAGTCACGAAGTTGGGCCACTCAGTTGCTGGGTGGGGCCTCCACCTCCCCAGGAGCCCCCTGTCCTGGCTGCAGGACTGCGGTTCCCTGTGCTATGTGGCTGTGCCCTCCACACAGAGCCTGTGTTTCTCAGGCTCCGCCTACCCTGCCTGCAGCACGGTCAAGAGTCGCGGGGTAGGGCCAGCGGGTTTAATCCTGGCTGTGTGACCTTGGGCCCCCAGGGTTTTAGTTTTCAAATGTGGGATGATGAAATCAGGATGTACTGGAGAAGATGCTGGGAGGATTAAATGAGATAATCTCCACCAAGCGCTTAGCTGAGTGCCTGGCACCCACCCAAGTGCTCATCAAAGGCCAGAGCCTTTCAGTTATGATGCCGATGGTGGCAGTTTTGCTGGTTCTGGATGGCAGTTGGGTAAAGTGTAACAAGAGTTTTAAACATGTTCAATTTCACTGTAAAGGAGCAGAGCTGACCCCTGAATGATACAGGCTTGAATGCGAGGGTCCACTCGTATGCCTTGTACCCCGAGCATGCCTTACAGAACTAAGAGGGAGGGAGGGTCCTGTGTGTGAGACGAAGCCACAGAGGCCCCAAGGCACTGAGTAACTCACCCAGAACAATCAGCAGTGAGTAGCTGGAACCTGGATCTTCCCACCTTAGCCCAGTGTGAAGCCAGGAGTTACCTCTCAACATCTTACTCTACCTTTCAGCCAGTCACAGCCCAGGGAGCATGTCCTGCCCAACTGTTACAGATTCATCACTGATGCAGGCAAGGAGACTGAGATGGGTGGGGGCCAGCAAAGGGGTCCTGATTAGCACTGTGCACCGCTTTACTGCAAACCTAAGATGCTGCCCACTACTCAGAGGGACTGCTGCTCATATTATTTTGGGCCCCTGAGAGCATCTAGCATTGCACATAGTAAGTGCTCATTAAATATGTAAAAGATCAAATGACACACATGCACACAAACTCCTTCTGTTTGCCACATTGACACGTAGCATGCATTTGAGCCAAAAACCTCTAAAATTCCACATAAAATAGGGAGCTGTCTGGTTAATGTCACTGACAACTGTCCCACCCTCCCAGGAAAGGCTCAGCATTCTAAGTACATATGAACTGCACATAGCTGCTGCTTCTTAACTGAAAAAGGTGCCTGCTGATCATATTGCTAGCGAACAATAATTGAGGCACCTGGGCCAAGGAAGCCCCTTGGGTGAGAAGCAATTTTTGCAGAGCTGGGGGACAGGGCACCATCCTACACACAGCATGGCACAACCAGTACCCCTCCCCGTCCCTAGGGGCAGCCACGGCCCAAACTCCCTTCCTGAAGAAGAGTCTCTTATGAGAACAC